TAAATTAATTATTATATAATAAAGAATTAATAAATCAATAATTATATTAACAAAAATTCATCATTGTTATAAATATTTGTTATTAATTTGACTATTGAACTAAGGTTAAATATTAACTGTTAGTATACTGATTTTTCATAAAATTCAACTGCTGAATGTATTCTGAATTATCTTAAAAATTAGCTACTGATTGTTTTGACTGATTCAACATGAATTCACTGATCAAACTTGAAATAATTCTTGACTAATTTTTATTGGAAATTAGTACTTAAAAGTATGCTAATTTTTCATAAAATTTAATTGCTAAATGCTTTTTGAATTATCTTAAAAATTGGCTATTGATTGTTTTAGCTGATTCAATATAAATTTACTTGTTGAACTTAGAGTAATTAAAGGCTGAATTTTATTAAAAATTGGTATTTAAAATTTAATAAAAATACTGATTATAGGTTGATTTCTAATAGAAATCAGCCTTCAATTGTTCTAATTTTGATAGTTAAATTCATATCGAATTAGCTAAAACAATCAGTAACTAATTTTTATATATTTGACTAGTGATTTAAATAATTTTAAAAGTATTTATATATTCTATTTCTTAAAACTTTGAAACTACTTGATATCACTAAATATTACTAAATCTTTCATACAATATCAAAAAATTTTAACTAAAAGTATCTAATAGTAACTTATTACTAGAACTATTTTTTTTATATAATTCAATTCTATTAGTTTTAGTAATTACTAAACTAATTTAGTAGTAATACTACTATAGTATTAATAAAATTATATATTTTGATTAGTTAACTATCATGAAAAATTATAAGTAGATCTATCAAAATTAACTAATCATATAAATATTTCTTTATAATATCTAAAATATATTAATAGTCAATTAAAATAAACTTTTGCTATGCTAAACTCTGATATATATAATTTTATATATTTTAATAATATATTTTATTTTCTAAATAATTTGTAGATTACATAATCTGCAATATGCATAATTAAATACAGAATTTTTAAGGGTAGCAGATATGTTGATCATTTTTCATATAAAATCAATAGTAATATATTTTTGTGTAATATATATAGAAATTAAACACCTAACTGTAAATCTAGAATATTCGATAGTAATTTGTACATATGTATATACGTTTATATATATGTCTAAATTATTTTTGAAGAAAAGTATTTTCATATTTTAGCATTGCTAAATTTTTTATATGAAACCCTCTAAAATAACTATATTATATGATGTATTTTGATGAAGAGTTCAAAAAATTTAGTAATAATTTCAACATATATAAAAATTAATTTTAGCACTATATAAGACTAATTTTACTGTCTAAATACTGTAATTACTTTTTTATTAAGATAGACATATATGTATATATATACGAACAAATATACCAAATATAATATCACTCTTTTTTTCAAAGAATTTTATTATTTTATCCAATACAACTAAGTATTTTTTTGTATAAGTAAATTTGCATTCTCTGCTATTCCTTTTATAACTAAATTACATGTCAAATAATTTGTATTAGCTTTTTTATCTAATAAAATAGACTGTTTTACAAACTTACAGTGAACTAGATCAGCTAACGCTAATTTGGCCAGTACTTTTGTATTTAATATTTTTGGTTTGTGACAGTTAGCAAGATCTAATAAATTTAATTTTTTACTTCATAGTCACTTATTTTCTGCTAAGACAAAAACATCTACTATATCAATAGATACAATTATCTTATCATTATTCTTACACAAGGCCTCAACTATTTTTAACATGTCAAAAATTTCTATCTTAACATCCACTAGTTCATCTACACTATCACTTTTATGCTTTAGGCAATTGTCACATAAATCACAAAATAGTGGAATTGGTTCTTCTGGCTATTTGTAGTATTATGATATTTGCTGAAAGCAGCATTCATAAAAGGTAAGACAATAGTAAATTACCTCAAATAATTGTTACTATACTTTATTAAGATAGAGCTCTAATGCAATAGTTTGCTTATCATTACTTTTATTGCTACAAATTAGATACATGTAAGAATTTATTAAATAAATTTTTTATACATTAATAATAAATATTACCTTGTTCTACTATCAGCAATAATAGTAAAGTTAGTGTAAATATCTTTTTTAGAAAAAAATATAATATATTTAGTGCCTTGTCTTTAATCCTGTTCAGCACAACCTGAGAATTGAATAAAATTAGCTATTGGTATAGTTATAGTTAATACTATTTTCAAATTATTCTAATAAAATATATACGTATTTATTTATACTCATTGAGAAATTATAATTTATTACAAGATGAACATCAGGCATATCTATACCTAACTCAAAAGCTGATATTGCAATTATGATATTTATTTGTTTTTTATTCTATTTGTTTATTATATCCTTTTTTTCATTTTCTAATAATTATCTATGATAAATTTTTAATGATCTATTTTTCATTTTAGACTTCAAAGCTTCATAAATTTCTGTACAATCCTTAATCCATGCATAGTAAATTATAATATGACTAATTATTTTTGCATCCTTTTCTACTTCATTTATTAACTTCATTATTTGATCTATTCAGGCTGAATTTATATCTTTTCAATGTAATACTAAGTAACATAATTCTTGCCTTAGAAGATTGCTACTTCTCACTAGTGCGAAGTTATCAGTACTAATATTTAGATTATTCTGCATATCTATTACTTCCTCTAAAGATAAAGTAGCAGTCAAAGCTATAATTTTAGAGTTAGAGTATGATTGTTTTAATGTGTCTAATTTTCTCCATTCTTTTCTAAAAAGATTTTTTTTTTTTAGTTTTTTTTTTTTCATAAGCCAATTTTTATCTCTTACCTAAAATAGTAAAAGCTAAAAATGCAATAAGCTTCATTTATTACAAATTGTAGCTTCTTTTCATTGTCTAAGTAGCTGCATAGAGTTCTAAGTTTACTGTTAAGCAATAACTTCTTCAGAGTAATATAAAGTAGACGAATAAAGCTAAGGGCTATTTCTTCAAAAACTTTTGCTTTATATTCTTTTGTTCCTTATGATGATGTTATTAGGGCTTCACATAGAATCTCTAGTCAAATAAAATAGTCCTAAAGGTAATATTAATTTAGTATACATTATTTATTTTATAATAATTATTATTATTATTATTATTATACTAATTACTTGATTTTGAATCAGAGATTTTAACAGCAAAATTACAATTATGAGGCCATCAAATAGGATAGCAGAGGTTGCATAGCAGAAAGATTTTTTACTATCAGTCTTCATAATTACCAGTATATTCTTTTTTTCACCTATATAATGTTTTATTGCTTCTATTTGTCCTGGTCTTAAGTTATTAAATCTGAAAATATTTTCTGCAATTTTTTTTATATATTCTACTAAATTATTAGTTGAAACTATATATTCTATATGTAAAATCATTAGGTCTAATTTATCTTGTAATATTAAATTTAGATTTATAAGCTTTTTATTCTAATCAAATAATATGTATATATAACACAATATGCACAGGTCTTTGTTGTGTTTTGGAAAAATAGTAAAACTAAGACATCATATATTAGCATTAAAATCTACAATTAAAGAAGCAAAAGATAGATAAAATTCATTTTAGCAAATTCTTTTTTGTGCTTTTAATTTATATAGAACTAATTCCTAGCTGAAATTAAAACCTATCAACTCAGAATACTCATTAGCATACTTCTCAGCTCGTATTTTATTACATTATTGAATTTTTTCTATATTTAATTAATTTTTTTCAAAACATTCATTTGCTATTATACAAATATTTAAAGTATCCTCTAATTCAAAGGATTGATTGCAATAAATTTCTCGAATTTTAGAAAGTAAATAAGTATATCTTTCATTATAATATATAACGGCTATAGCATATCATGCAGTATATAATTTCTAATAATCTATTCTTTTATCAAGATACACTAATTTTACATGATTAAATACTTTATTTTAGGATATTCAGTTAAATATAATGATACTTTGATCTTTGGGTATATGAAAGACTTTTTTAAGAAATTTTTTAAATGATTCAATTTGACTATCTGACGAGTGACAAAGGGTAGGATTTTGTAAAATAATTGTTAGATCATCTTTTGTCCAATATATATCTGACTAGCAATCTGAATAGTTATTTTAAAGATACTTGATAAGACTATCTACCTGCATTTTATACATATCTTCTTCTGAAGATGCAAAAGGATTTTTATCTTTTCTTCTAAATGTAGCAGAATATATACAACTATGGAACCATCACATTATATAGTCTTTAAATGATTTAAAATTATTATCATCTAAATATATTATATATATAATATTAAAAATAGTAAGTATTAGGTCTGGTGATCTTAGTGTAGTGGTTAGGTTGCCAGACCGCCATGCAAGAGGTCTGGGGTTCAAATCCTACTGTCG